TACTCATTTCCCCAGAAATTGCAGATCATCACAATCACCCCGTAAGATTTCAGCTTGTGTTGTTGCTTGTTGCGCTCCTTCATTACCAAGGTTTGCAAAAATTATTTGTTTGAACGGATTTTTCGCGAATCACGTTCTCTTGCTCAAAAGTACAATAAGCTGGAGATAAACCTTGACATATGATAAAATAACCATCCGAATGTAGAAATCATTAGATAAGTGACATGGCACAAGCTAGATAGACCATACTCACGAGACGTCAATGAGATTTCTGATGATTGTCAGAGGGTTTCATGTCTTTCAGAGTGGCTACTTTGATAGCACTAGTCCCTCATGAGATCATGCCTGGAGTCAAGACGGATAACTTATTTGTCCGTGAGTTATGTGCTTACTTTAAAAATTGTGCGATTAAATATTAAAAAAGCCATTTCACTATATTTCATTTCTTTGCGACTTGCGAAACATGCAATCGATCTATCCAGGCGCGAATGATTTTGCCCGGCACGCGAGTGCCTAACGTCACGCGCGCGTGTTTCTTGCGGACTCGATAAATTCTTTGTCAATGACATCTGTTCATCCATTTATTCGTGGTGGGGTGCATAGGTATGTTGTGGTGCGTCATACGCTGGTGTAAGATATGGCAGTTTCCCTTTGGTTCCTATGATCTAGCCTATGTCGCAGTAGTTCTTTACGGCTTGTAGGTTCGTGGAGGCGCCAGGGTCACGAGCGTGGTATCCGCGCAAGAATGTTGTTGTTAGATCACGCGCCCACGAAGTCGTTCGATATAGAGAAAACATCATGCGAGGTCTAAAGTCTAGTTTGTCTTGTGCGGCGTCTAAAGTCTAAATTCCTCCTATGCACAGCCTGGAAAATGAGATTTTCAGTTTCGATGTGATATCACCAGTTACTGAAATTTACTAAAAGGGAAGTCGACCCGAGAGAATCAACCAGTTTAATATTAAATTTGCCTCGTACCTTTAGCCACAATTTAATTGATTTCTATCGACATTAACTCGTTTTCATTCCATATTTTATTTTTTGTTGACAAACTTTAATTAATAGTTGGGCCTAATTCGTACTGAACAAACTCTCCAAGATAGACAATTTCTTGCAATGTTTTCTTGATGTACCATGGGCGACTCTCAACTTTCGCAGTTTAATTGCCCAATATTTTCCTGGAGTTTCAGTAGGAAACATTGCGAAATTTCGCGGTTCGCTCGCCGTTCGCTCTCAGACAATAACGACATGGATTAATCCAACGTCGAAAACCTTACCATTCGAGCGACTTCATCCTAGACTCTGCGTTAGTTAGATAGTACCAGCTCTTAAGTTGTCAGAGTTGTGAGTCTTATTGCTCAACAAAAATAATATTTGAGAAAGGCGGTATTTATCATTGTTAGTACTTGATAATACATAGGAATAACTCATCAGTGTCTGATTTTATCACCCTCTGAAAGAGCTCCCCAAGGGATTATGTCCTTGAGGAATCCGCTATGGTAAAGAATAGCCCGGTTTCTGAAGGTCGGACACAGAACATTTGTTATAATTACCCAGGAAGGAAATTCCTTTTAATACACACCTAAATCGTCTTCTGTTTCAAAACATGCAAAGGGTGAGTTTTCACAGGGTCAACCAAAAACAGGCATAATTAATTGATTTATTTAGCTTGGTCGGTGTCAATTCTGTCTTGACAAAATTATGGATACTTGCACACATGTAACAACAACAGGCATGGTGCCATGATACTCCAAGAAGTTTATACAAGTGAGACTCGGGGAGTTTGAATGAGGTAACCTGTTCGGAAAGAGTGTGGCACAACGGGTTGACTTTTAGTTTCAGGGTCTGGCACATCGTTGTGCACCGATCGGGGCAGATCGTTCGGACAGGATTAAATATGGGGTTTTTGCATCCGTGACTAAATTCATGTAGGCATTTTCAGTTACTGTAACAGAAAATGAGAAATATAACATGTCATTGCGCGAATAAGCTCTTTACGTCACTCGTGCGTCACTGAAGTTGTAGATTCTGTACATGATGTGGCAATGACATTAAATTAAACTCGTTCGTTCTTGCACAAATGTACTTTGATGGTGTTTGTTTTTCGCCGAGGTCTTTCTCAATCTCTCCTCCTGCAGTCTTGATATGTATATATGTATTTTTTCTTTATTTTTCGTGGCTAGTTTTTGGTTGAAGAAAGTCATGCGCATTCTTCACTAGAACGTTTAGTAGAGGTGAATAAATCACAAAACCAATCATAACAAAACGACGCGGGCCGGGCAGAGTGAATTTAAACAAAAGAAATAGAAAACCTCATATATCCTTTAAAGTTTCTTGTGTCTTTCTTTTTTACACTTGTGGAGGTAGAAAGAATTTACAGCTAGTAATCAAACCAGCATCTATTCCGTTAGATATTGTTCACAGATGATCTTACCTAGAACAAGGATCTCTCAGTTTACTATTTAAGAGAATACTTTGCATAAGGTCTGGACAGAATACACTAAGGAATAATGTACTCGAAACCTAACATTAGAAGGGGTGCCAAAAAATGATCAAATAACAGGTTAAGAGCAAAAAATATAGTGTATCCGGCGCTATCGCTTAAATGCAAGACGATCAAGTTCAAAACTTTTAGGCTGAAAACTATTCAAAGCGCACTGCAGTCTGCGCTTAAATGTTGTTCGATCCATTCATCCGTGTCTTTCTGTTCATCTACTGTACTGGCTATGCGTTCCCACCTGCTCTCAGCACTGGGATATTTTTTAGCAGCAATTGAATGATCTAGCCGAAATAGTTTACTTATCTTTACAACATAAAAAACGGGGGCCATCTAGAGTGCTTGAATGTTATTTTGAAATCTTTTTTTTTCATCTGAACAGCGTCATGTAGCCTCGGACTCGAGCTCGTATTGGTCTAAAGTATTTGCAGTGTTGAAATGAGCCTGAGTTCTTGGCACTCTTTATCGAAGATTTGATTCGGCAATTTCATATTCACCCTTGTTAAGTCTTGTCTTTTTTATAGACAAAGAAAGCCCGACCACGTTATGAACGACTCCTAAACGTACATAGGCGCGCGCGCTAAAATTTGGCACCAATTTCCTTTTCAAGTGTTAAAGAACGTAAATAATATTAAAATCCCATACAAAAAAGTGCAATATGTACTTTCCATGTGAAATTTTCCCTTGCTGAGGGTCCTTTTAGTAGCATTGAAGGTCATTACCAAACCGCTTGTTTCATTGTTGTTTTCAATGTCATGGAAAAAGCACGTTGCTACAGGTGACAGAACACGGTTTTGTCATCGACATGCAAAGATGTCTTTCACAAAACTGAATATATTATTTCTGCTCACTTATTCCCTGAGGTGTGGCGCCAATTTCCTTTTCAAGTGTCTTAAGAACACGAGAGAAATATCAAAATCCCCAAAATAATCTTTTTTTCGCGTGATTGATAGTGGGCCAAGTGTATACCTTGTATTAGGTAAACGACTGAAAACTTGTTTCTTAACACGATCTGGCCGTTTAAATTGTTTTGATCAGTCGCTCGTGTTGAAAGTCCCAGTAAATGAAGTAAAGGGAAGATGAAAAGGAGGAAAATAGCAAAGCGTTTCTGTGCATATTTTAATCTTTAAGTATCATGACTTCGAAAAAAACGTACTCACGTTTTTAGCTAAAACCGGAAAAGCAAACACGTGCTGACGTAGCCAGCCACGATGTAGTAAGGTCAATTAGAGAGAGCTCTGTAGAACAAAATAAGCGCCTAAACGCAAAAAATACCTCAAAAAGTCGCATAAAAATATTTTGAAAACTATTTTTTAAACTTATTTAGAGTGTTTCCTCCATAGAGACGTAAACATGTTTTACACAAATTGCCTACGTGAGATTATCTTCTCTCACCTAAGTAAATGCCTGGATGTCCTATTTGCAATTCGTCAAGAGAGCCTGATGTCGCCTTTATTAAGTGCATTGGGTAAGGACTCAAGTATCTGCAAGATTGTTCACAAAATAAAAGTATGTTTTGTTCCATTTTCGAGCGTCCGCGTTGACCTTTGTTTTGTGGCTATCCCGTGAGACGTTTTATTCTATGTTGCCGTGGTCGGCATGTAATGAGCCGGAGTAACTCTTTCGCTCAGAGTCAAATCATAAACGAATCAGGACGTGCGGTTGTGTGTTATTTATTACCGCCTCAGTGTTTTAGTACTCTTAAGTTATCCGGAAAACCGATATTATGATTCAGCAATCAGTGCGTCGAAATCACGAACAATGGCTCTCTTTATATACTAATGTTTTTTTTTCCGTTTTGCGTGACTCAGTGGAGGAAATATTAGTTCATCTATCGGAATATTTAGCTATCTACTCTAAAGTATTTAGAATTTATCTCCGAAAAGTTCTAGTTAATATGCACCTTTCAGTTTCATTACATTTCTCTCGTAACCGAATATTGACACAACTAGGTAAGAGAGCGTATGATCATTTTTCACTGCACCTCCGCCTGTGCTCTTGTTAGCGTAAAATCAAGTGAGAAAGAATTTCATAGCAACAAAAGAATCGATGGTTTAAATATTTCTTTCCCAGAGTCAGTTAAAAGTGATTGATTCACGCACTTTTCTCCACTGTATTGTTGTTATTCATTGATCATTTTTACTGTTAGGCCGCTAGACCTTTCCTTCTTTAGTCCTTCTATCGTACGTGTTCGCACAGGGAGCAGCTGAAAAGACCACGCGAGAAACTCTCACGCTTAGCTTTATGACGATCCATAATGGGGTTTCTAACGCTCTGGAAACAATCTTTGCCTGAATAATTTAGCATCGCCAGACACATTTTCCGTCTTAACGTTCCAAATTGCGTAATTTGAAAACCAAGTGATAAAATCAGAAACACAAAAAGCCAAAAGACTCTTGCAAGTTACAATTTGCGACATTCACACGTCACTCACGTCTCTTGTCTGAGCAAGAGACGTGAGTGGCAGAGTGAAGTAACACATTCACCCAGCATTACACTGGACAGCTTGTCCTTAAGAACAAACAGTCCCTGGACGAAGGGATTCTCCTTCAATCACACATGTCTCGGATGAGTTGCTCAAGCTGCCTGAACAAGATGTAAAAAGACGTATTCGGTCTTTAACTTAGGTTGGCGAAAAAAATTGGATTTTCATTTTCTTGAAATTTTCATATGTTGTTAGATTTCGAACTTGCAGTGATTGCTATTTCAACATTTTCCTCGTGGATTTCTCTACTGGTTCTATCCAGAAGAAACTGAGAGAGAAATCCAACTTTACCTGCGCCATTTCCGCTTAAATAAAAGAAACAAACGATCTTTGAGAGAGAGGCATGCTATGGATAAAGAAAGATGTTGGACAAAAATTTGCGATTTTATCTCTCAATAATCTTATGGCAGTCGCTCGCACACCGGAGTTGGCCAAGCGTGGGATTACTCGACCTGCTCGACTTGAACCTGTGGCGTGATCCGCGCGCGCTTTATGGAAAACGAGACCATGTGTGGGAGAGAACAAACATTAAACAATACAAATAGGGAAGAAAAAAGAACACCGTTAAACATGTGCTATATTCCGTTTATTGGAAAACAGTACGCACCCAAGATACTCTTTTTACCCCGTTCTTCTGAAGAAAAGAACCGTCTCAAGGGAATAACACCAAAGGTGCCACATTTTCCCTCTAGAAACTATAAGACACCGACAGACTTGTCAAGGGAAGAACATTTTTAACATGAATATTACTGATCTCGTACACACCTGTGGCCCAACCTCAAATTTCACGTCCATTTTGAGGATCCTTGTAAACTGCGCCAAAATTTTTTTATGGGAAGTGTCAACTCTGAAGAAAAGGTTCCCGCCAACAAAGAAACGCATAGGGAACTTGTTCCTTCAGAGAAAACCCACATAACCACGTGTACGCTGTTCAAGATCCTCTCGCACGACCCGCGAACGTCAAAGTTCAATTTTTTCACGTGTCGGTGTCATGCGGATACCTCAGATCATCCGCAGCAGCCAATCAAAATGGGTATCGTCACTCCCGGTCGAATGTGATTGGATTACCGTCTTTACGTAATTTTGGACGAGATAAAACTGTTGTACATCTATCACTTAGTTAGTTCTCCTAAGATGGCGGACATGATGAAGAGCTCTTCCAAGCTGACTGGTATTGAAATGGAAACTCGGGGTCAGGCAGATCCGCCGGTAGGTAGTAACTAACGCGTAGAGACTTTCCACACGATTTGGTTCACCACTGCCCATGGTAATAATTCTCAGTGATCTCGAAAATGTTTTAATTTTTTCGATCCTCTATTTTTTAGAATTACAATAAAGCTTACTTGCCGGTAGACGAGGAGGCGGGAAATGGACTTCACGAGGACGAAGAGGGTGAAGAATTTGATCCTTGGGCTTTGCCTGAACTCCAAGATCTTGGCCCTAAGTGGTCTGGTAAGTAGTAAAGCTTTTGTTGTTGTAATTTTTGATCTTGTCATGAAATTTATAGTATTTGTAAACCGATTTTCCCGTTCAACACTAATTCTGATTTTGGCGGGCTCACAGAACTTGATGGATGCGGCAAAGTGAAACGAGTGGCTTTGGCAGTTGGCAAGGTCATTCTTCTTCTTGGTCTTCTCTATGTATTTATCTGTTCACTGGACTTCCTCAGTAGTGCCTTCCGATTGCTTGGAGGAAAAGCGGCAGGCGAAGCATTTGCGTCTAATAAAATTTTGAGTAACCCCGTCGCTGGCTTGATGATTGGCATCTTGGCAACGGTTCTCGTCCAAAGTTCGTCTACAACCACATCCATCGTTGTTTCAATGGTCGCTGCGCAGAGTAAGTTTGATTTGGTATTTTTAAAAGAAGCATTTAAAATAACACTCCTCAGTACAAGTTTGTGTTAAATATTTGTTGAATTTATTTTTGTTGGCAATCAATCGTATGGGGGTGAAAACTTGAACACTTTTCTAAGATTTCGTACAGTTTTTTAAAATTTTTCTTCACTTTCTTTGATGTTTTTCGGGTATTAATCGTAGGTTTAGTGGAAACTATTGGATACGTCAATAGTTGCCCCCATTGTCAGTGTTGAAGAACATTTGACACCTGTTATAATGCACAATTTTGTTTCCGAACATGATTGATAACTAAATTTTTCAGTGTTTTAACTTCACTTGGCAGCTCTTTAAGACTCTAATAATTTCGTTGATGAAAAATTCGATCTTCAGTTATTAATTATATTGAAAGGGTATCTCGTCAAGTGACGAATTTCAGTGATGTTATTTGCGTAGTAAGTGCTCTTTATATCGCTCTGCCTCATCACCTATAGTTCTGATTATATTGAAATACCGAGGTTTGTTAATTTGCGGAGGTTAATGTATGCAAGGGCCATATCAGACACGATTTTTTGCTATTGGCAAAACATTAAATTTAAAACTTCGTACTAATCAAAGGAGATTTGTATTAATTACTTAAGATGAAATTGTGATGTTTCTTGTCCATCATTCACTCAGAAGTTGTATGGTGACTTGTTAGGGGTAAATATTGGTTATTGGTCTTGAATGTGGTCTTTGACTGAGTGCAATTGTGTTATTTGAGCTAAGTTTTGGTGACATAAACAGCCTTGCCCAGATTTATGAATTAAATTGAATTTTAGTAGATGTAAAAGAATATGTGTATATTTTCTTAGTTTTAGATGTTGAGCCTGCCATTCCAATTGTGATGGGTGCCAACATAGGAACATCAGTCACCAATACCATAGTTTCACTTGCACAAGCTGCTGAGCGTAATGAGTTTCGACGTGCCTTTGCTGGTGCGACAGTACATGATATATTCAACTGGCTGTCTGTGCTCATATTCCTGCCCTTAGAGGTTATCACGCATTACCTACTTCATCTTACTGGTAAGATTATCAAGGTACTTCCTTTGACCCAGAAGAAAGGAACCAACAAAAAGTTGCTGAAGAAATTGACAGAACCATTTACCAAGCTTATAATTCAGTTGGACAAAAAAATTATAGAGAATATTGCACTGGGAGATAAATCAGCAGAGTCAAAATCCCTTATCAAAGACTGTTCACCCAAGGAAGTAACAGAGATTGTTAATAAAACCTACAATGCAACTACTTATTATTTGGAAAATGTGACAACAATCGAACCTGCCTCATGCAAGTTTCTCTTCCATGGTACATCCCTGAGCGACACTGAGGTTGGCATCATAATCCTGGTTATCTCCATTGGCCTGCTCTGTATCTGTCTTGTCAGTATTGTTAAGGTTCTTCACTCCATGCTTCGTGGTCAGATGGCAAAAATCATCAAGAAGACCGTCAATGCAGACTTCCCTGGACCATTCAAACATCTCACTGGCTACCTGGCAATTCTTGTTGGTGCTGGTCTTACTATGTTGGTACAGTCCAGTTCCATCTTTACATCAGCCCTTACACCTCTCATAGGAGTTGGAGTCGTCACCATTGAACGAGCCTTCCCTCTTACCTTGGGTTCAAACATTGGAACAACTGCAACAGGTATTCTGGCTGCATTGGCAAGTGCGTCAAATCTGGACAAGGCCCTTCAGATTGCCTTCTGCCATTTATTCTTCAATATTTCTGGTATCCTGGTGTGGTATCCTATCCCTTACCTGCGAAAAGTTCCCATTGGTTTTGCCAAGTCATTAGGAAACAAAACGGCTGACTACAGATGGTTTGCCATTGCATACCTGGTGTTTGGCTTTTTCCTTCTTCCAGCAGCTGTCTTTGGCTTGTCACTTGCTGGTTGGCAGATTCTCCTTGGTGTAGCTGCGCCCCTCCTACTTCTCTTCCTGTTCATTGTCATTGTGAACATCTTTCAGAGGAAAGCTCCTGGCCATTTACCAGAAGTTCTCCAAGACTGGGAATGGTTGCCAAAGTGGACACGATCACTAGAGCCTCATGACCGTGTTTTCTCCAAAGTTACTGAGCTGAGCAGAATGTGCCATTCAGACAGGACTAGGCAAGCATCCAACACAGAATCGCGTGTGTAGAAGAGACTGGTTTTTGTATTTATTTAGTCTGGAGCCTGGTTAGATCAGTAGTTTTCAGAGTTATTCATTAGCAGATGAAAGCAGTTAAAACATGCTGATTTTTGTTTTGATTATTTTATTTTTATTTACCCTTAGTGTCTTTAAATTATTTATTTTGGCAATTAAAATGATCAAGCCTTTTTTTGTTTTGTGGCAGATATTCTCCAATTTTTGGAATGGGAGAAAGGAAATTTGTGCTAATATGTTACAATAGTAGCTCAATCATGTAGTTTTTCTTTGGAAGCTATTTGGCAAAATACCTAAAACATCTTTTCAGATGGCTAAAATTAAAAGAAATGAAAATTGCTCTACTATTTGGCATGGTGCAAACTTCCTAATAATGTGAGTAATCTGTTTAGTGACTAAACTTTGTTCCCTGCTAAATGCAATATGTTATTAATGGTTCATGTAACAGTGATCTTAAAACTACTTCTTTGTGGGTAGTGATATTTTCGTAATTCTTGCTTCCTGTTTTTCAGGTTATGTAAACCCTATTTACATTCTAAAAAAAATACATCTAAGGATGAGTGTGCAGGAATTGTAGCTAAAAAACCACTTATCTTTATGATCAAGTTAAATGGTCATGTGGCAAGTCTGACCTCTGATGCATATGGGGTTTACATGTAGATACAGTAACATGCTATGTTAGATTTGTACATTGCTTTTAATGTTGAATAAAACACAGAGCTTGCTTTCATGCTAAGGTAAGTTTGGTATTTATAGTATCATAACTATTGTTAATTTAAAGGACATTGTATTAATGTTTGTTATGAGAATAAACAATTCAATGGGTTGAGTTAAATGAGTTATATATTTTTTATTTGCTCATTTCAGAGTAAACAAGCCCTTTGCCCCATAATATTATTTATAAGGAATGAAGAGGAACAGGTCATCTTGAAATTTGTCACCATGATATCTCTTTTTTTTTTTTCTCAGGAAGGTTTCATACATTTAAGTAGGAGAGTAGTAGCTCGGGTTATAACTGTATTATTTTGTCTGATCGTCATTTGTTTCATTTTCCAGGTTCTTCAACATAACAGAAAGTAAGCTGGCCGAAAATTAAACCAATAAGATTAGTTCAAACAATGCCACAACTGGGCAATTTAGAAGAATTTTTTTAGAAAATATAACCTCAGCCACTGAGGTGTATTAGTTATGAATAAGGAGTCGGCCTTTGAGTGAAATTTAAACTTTCACAAATTGGAACATGAATTCATTGCAAAAAAAATGCAAAGTCTTGAGGTAGGCTTGTTGTCTTTTTCAATTTTCTTTCATTTTTTGTTGCAGTTTCTCTTTAATAAAAAAAAAATTGTTTCTTGATGGTTTGTCAACATTTTTGTCTGCATAAATGATATGAATCAGACCAAAACAGCAAATCACTTTGCAGACAGCAGGTGAATATACAAAGCCCATAAATTGTAGAAGTCTGAACTTTTCATGAATTTTTTCTCTCGACAATCAAATTTTGTTATGTCAACCATCAGCATTTGTGCAACAGTTCTGCTGCTAAATGACCATAACCTCATTTTATTTGTCCAAATTTGTCTCTGAAGATTGTGCTGAAGGTCATCTCAGAAATTATGTAAAGGCTTCTGATATTTCTTGGGTTTAACAAAAGACCAAGGCAACATTCTCAGGGAAATGACAGCAGAGTCTGGTTTAGTGTTAACAGGCCTGAACGATGTGTTATGCCTCATTGAAACTGATCCATTTGTGACTGAAAGAATGATTGATAGCCATTCATTAAAAAGACAGCTGAGGCGAAAAATGTGCACAGTTGGGGTGAGATTGATGATTAACTGAATGCTGATGGTTTTCTATTAGCGTGTTCTGTTACATTCGGTTGATTTTATTTGTTACAACTAGTGTCTTGGACCCCCCTAAAGGGCTTTGTTAAGTAAACCTGTTGATGTTGCATTGTATGCTGACTTGAACTGGTTCAACATTGTGATGGGAAAGTTGGAATTACCGTTTGTCTTAGGTTTACCGTTTTGTCTTTAAGGATTGGCTTGGGAGGAGTTTAAGAGAATGTGAAAAGCTCCAGAATTTGAACGATCTTCAAAAATTAATATCACAAACACTCGCTGATTAACGTTATGTCACTTCCGGTGAAATTTTGTCGCATCCTAGCAATTAGCACAAAAAATTTAAACTTCATTCCCTGGTACATCTGCATACTTGATTTCTTATTAAATCCTTTAACTCCCATGAGTGACCAAGACAATCTACTTGCAATATCCATACAATTTCAATCGCACAAGTGATGGAAATAGAGAGTAGTGGCAATTAGGGGATTATCAGTTGATTCAGTAACAAATTCTCACAACTAACATCATGGGAATTGTGTAGCAGTCAGTAATGAGAATTACTAATGAGAACTTAGGAGTGAAAGGGTTAACTGGTGAGATCTTAGAGCCTACCCTACCCACGTTTGATTCCAGTGATGTCCCTTAATTAAGAATTTGATGGAGTGTTAAGACTTGGAAGTTTCAAACTGTCCCCTCTTGCAAGGGAGAGGGTCCTAGAGAGGGAAAACAATTCAGGGTCGGCCAGGGTTTTTGTGTATTCGGTATTCAGGGGCGTTTTAAATCG